GCTATTACGGAAGCAGTAAAACAAAAGATTAGGGGGGGGGGGTCAAATTTACACCTCAATGATGATTTCATATTTATGATTTTTAAACTACAGACATGAATTGTAACCAATTAATATTAAATAATATATTTTTGATAATGTATCCCATTTTAATTAACTAATGGGTGTATACAGTAAATTATATTTCTTTAAATAAAATATAACTGTATATCATGGTAATTTGTATGCAAATTAATATGCAAATTAGCCACAAACCTGAGACAATTTTCTGTGAAGATCACTGGTCAGTTCCTTGTAGATTTATATAGTACAGCCTGGCACATTGAAAACAAAAATTTCCACCCAAACTTTGACATTTTTTTCTATGCCCTTGCAATGGAATACTGATGACCACACAGTGATAAAGCTTGTTGATATCACTACTTGCATTAAAATCATACACAAAAGCATATTTCAGATTAAGATTAGCAAGTTCTAGAATTTTCCAAAAGAATGTACTTGAAAGTGCATAATTTATTTTTTCATACATTAAATTGTAATTTTTAAACTTTCATTTCAAATGAGCATTTTTGAAGTGAAAGATGTGCTTATTAATACTGACACTGACTGCTCATTGATAACCTTAAAAATACAATATGGACAAAAACATATATTGTTTGATTTTTCAGACTAAATTGGTTTATGAATTATCATAAACTAAAAAATATTGTGTTCGCAGGATACACAACAATTTGTTCGAAGAAAAATCAAAACAAATAATATGCATATGTACATGCATATTAGAGAATGTCATTGCTTCATCAAATGAATACTCAGATGAGTGATACAAGAACAGCGTTCTCTGTTCAAGATAAATCATAGACAGATATTTTTATCAATATACAATACGGGTATTAATATCTCATTCCTATTTGGTATATAAATCATTAACAGCAAAAACTGTTGATAATACTCACTTTCATAAAGGTTTGGCACAAGTTTGAAAACAATGTCCTGCATGGTTCGATCAGCTTTCAGATTAATGAGGGGCTGTGTTTCATGGATCTTTATGTTACACATGGGACAACATTTGGAGGTCTGCAAGTATTTGACAATACAACTTTTGCAAACTAAAAACAGCAAAATAGAGAAAAGAAAAACAGATATGGATCTTTGTACATTCAGTATTTCGAACATTGTTAAATGAATATTGTCATATTGGTATATGTATCTCATTAAAATAATATGTAGAACACCCTATGCCACATGGAAAGTGACTATATTAAAAAAACTTGTACCCCACAATTAAAATAAATAAAGTGTATAAATTATTAAGAATAAAATGTTTTTATATAGAAAATTTATAAACAACACTAGGAATGGCTCTCCTAAATATAGTAATGTGATAAAGGAAACTATGCTATTAAAATCTGTTCAAAATTGAAATAATTCTTGAGCTTTCCAATTAGATTTAATTAAGAACTTAATATACCGTACTTATCAGGGTAAGAGCCCATGCCTGGACAGACGCCCACCCCCCACTTTTGACACAATAAAGAAGTTGAGGTCATATCCGGGCACATGCCCAGGGGGTCTTTTTTTACACACACAAAAAAAACAAAAAAACAAAAAAAAAACTATTTTCTATTCGTTG